AAATATCAAGCTTTTTCAGCAGTCCAAGACTTTTTTTGTGATAATGAACGGTTGATTCTGGTATATTTAACTTCTCTCCTATCTCACGCTCAGTTACATGACGATCCAATTCGATTAATGCTTTGATTTGGTCATCATCAACTTCATTTGGCCGACCTGAACGTGGCTCATCTTTAAGTGAAAAATCTCCAGAACGGAATTTGCGAAACCAATTTTGACACTGTCTTCCTTTTAAGGCTTCATCACCATACACATCTCGTAACTTTTTAGCAACCTGCTCCGCGTTTTTTCCTTTACGGAAATAATAAAGTAAAATATGACGAAAATGCTCCTTTGTGGGCTCCATATTAAAATTGACGCCAAACAAACAAATGTAAACAAAATTTCGCGCACTTTTTCTAAAGCAAGCCAAAAGTAACTGCTGATAACTGACAGAAGAAAGAATGCAATTACAGAGTCACAAGCCGTTGAAAAAATTTGTCAACGCCGACTATATGAAAAATTCGCAATTACTTTTTGGGCAACCCAATATAAAGCAAAGAAATTTTTGAAGAGCGAACGACCAAATTAAATATGGATTGAATAATATGCGTTTATTTTTTATAAATTCCTAAAAGTACTTGCGCGCTTACTTCCCGCCGAATTACAATGTTACCTACATATCTTTCATCAAAGACAAACGCCAGACATAATCAAAATTCAGTTACTTTGTTTTAAAAATTTTTTTTTTAGTTTTTTTTATTGTGAACATTAAAATGTATTTGTTTAGTTAATCATACATATGTTGTTGCTGGTATAAATAAAATATTTAAAGATTTATACATTGTTTATAAGTCTATATTATTCATAACAAATTTAGTGAAATATAATTATTGTACAACAGGGAATTATTAATGAATAAATATAAATTTGCTTGTGTATATGTAAATAATGAAAGCATTTAATTAAAAAGATTTAAAGGCAATAAAACAGAGTTCTGAAAAATGCATTAAAACATTGTAATAAAATAAAAATAAGTAAAAACAAAATAAAATATTAGGTGAAGTAAGAAGTTCGTTCGGTTTTTGTTTTATTGATTTTTCAAAATTTAATAACTTTGCGTACATTTGTCCGATTTAAGTCATGCGCCGTTTTGTTCGTAAACTTGTTGTCAACGAAATGCCAACTTCATTGTATCCCTCTCGTAGAAGGCTGAGTGCCTATTGGCAAAAAAGTCGGAGAGCCAATTTTCACATGCCTCTCTGAGAGGCCAACTTCTCACCATTATGCGCGTTCGCCATGGACAGCAAAAGATGGTAATCACTTGGTGCCAGGTCCGGACTATAAGGTGGGTGCATTAGGACCTCCCATCCGAGCTCCTGGAGCTTCTGCCGCGTCACCAAAGACGTGTGTGGCCTGCCGTTGTCCTGATGGAACACAATTCGGTCTCTGTTGATCAAAGATGGCCTCTTCTGGATGAGTGCTGCCTTCAAGCGGTCCATTTGTTGGCATTAGAGGGCAGAATTGAGCGTTTGGACATAGGGGAGCAGCTCGTAGTAGATGACTCCTTGCCAAGGCCACCAAGCACACAGCAAAACCTTCCTGGCCGTCAATCCGGTCTTGGACACCATCTGGGCCACTTCCCCGAGCTTTGACCACGACCGTTTGCGCTCAATGTAGTCGTAAGTGACCCATTTTTCATCGCCAGTCACAATCCGCTTCAGAAGCGGGTCGATTTTATTGCGATTCAGCAGCGATTCGTAGATGGAAATTTGGGCTTTTTTGCGTTAGTTCGAGTGGCACCCAGACATCGAGCTTCTTTTTTAACTATTTTGTTATAAAAATGGTTCAAAACAGTTTTCTGGCTTATCTTTAGTTCCACAGCAGTTAAATAAGTGCTCACGTGACGGTCTGTTTCCACTATTTCCATGATTTTATCGAAATTTTCGATGACAGTCCTCCCGACCCGTGGTGCATTTTTGACATCGAAATTACCGAAACGGAACCTAGCAAACCACTTTTGTGCTACACGTTCGTTTACAGTATCGGACCCATAAACAAAATTAATTTTTTTCAGCCGCTTTGGCTGCTTTTTCGCCTTGATCGAAGAAAATTTTTAAAATATAGCGAATTCTCTCTTTGCTGGTGGCCATCTTTGACGAGCGCTCACAACGTACTGTGTCAATCAATAGAAAAACTGCCAAAGACAAACTTTTAGCGCGAATAAACATGTTTTCAGCGCCGTATGGTATGACAGGATGCGCCACGTAACACTGTGGACTATGGATAATAACGCCATCGCGATATAAACCGAACGAACTTCTTACTGGACCAATGTGTGTGCAGTGACGCAACAAATCTTCTATGAACCATAAGCAGGATTTAAATATTTTCTTTTTTTTTCAAAAAGATCATTATCGGTCCTTGAAACAAAATAATCTTACTAAGCAAAAACACAAATTTTTCGAATAGCTCGGTCCTGGCCCTCATTTTTTTTAGAAAAATTTGTGTTCATTTTAAACTAAGCATAAAGCTATACTGAAATTGAAGAAAATCGAATGAAAACTACGAAGTTTTGAACATGTGTAGGACAGGTCCCGGATTTTTTTTCTTGTTCGGCCAAATCCGAATTTGTGCGAATCATCGAAATCAATCCATGCGTCCTTTAGTTACGAGCAGAGTAACTAACATCACTTTCTTATATAATCTATACATATACATATGTACATATATAGATTTCATACAAAATATTTGTATATACAAATAAGAGGTGCCTCGCCATTTTTTCCAAAATTCAGGAATACTTAAATCATCTACATGATAACGCAAATGAGCAATATAAATTTGGCCGCTACACATAGGCTCTCAAACTGTAAAGTAACTACAGAAGCAGCCACTTATTATTGTACATATAACGATAACAATGAATATAAATAAATAATATAAATATTGATGTGAATTCATTGGAATTATTTGAAAACATTGGAAAAATTTTAATACATTTTTCATAACTCCATAGTAAATACTTATGTATGTACTACATGTATGTGCTATAAAATATTTCTAAATGTATATGCATACATATGTGTGTATATACTTGCAGAAATAACTGAATATAACTTTTTTTTATCACTACATACATTCATATTTTGTTATGTTTAAAATGCTTTACATTTTCTCAAAAATTTTAACGGGACAGTTTAATGCTTCATTTTGGTTTTAGTATCTAAAATGTGGTGTTGCCACTTCAGCAGAATGTATTTAATACAAATCTAGTTAGTAATGCTATTTATTTATATCGAATTCACAGTTATTAGTTCAACAGCTTTTCCTACATACTCGTACATACAGACAATTAAGAGGTGAAGACTTGGAAGTTTGAGTTTTTTTTTACTAAAACGTTTTTTTTCTTCTAAAAACTGTTGGGCATAATTTGAAAATATTTTTAAAGAATAAAATTTCTGTACATACATACTTACAGATGTACATATAGATGTACATAAGCTCCAAACAATAAACTCTATACATACATACTTACATATATGTGGTATATACAGGGTGTGTCATCTGTGCGTTAGCATTTGAAACTTAAATAATTGACATATATTGTGGCTTGATCGATGCTTTATTTCAATATATTTTGTGCCATGAATCAACTAATGAGCCTCCATGGTGTCGGTGAGTTTTGGTTATGCGCGATGAAACTCATTTCACATTGAATGGCGCGGTTAATAGCAAAACTCCTTGTGACATATTCGAAGAGCCTCTTCATAACCAAAACGTGACCGTTAAGTGTGGCGTATTGGCCAAAAAGATCATTGGACCGTATTTTTTTGAGTGGCACACGCGCTACAGAACGATGCTGTGTGACATCGTTCACTTCTGCTTCCAACAGGATGCAACCAAAGCACACACTAGTCGCGATTCAATGACGCTACTACGCATGATGTTCGACCGGCGCAACGCATCGACTGGCCGCAGAGCTCACCCAATTTCATGGCGCCGCCATTTTTTTGTGGGCGTATTTGAAGAGCAAAGTCTCCACCGACAAGCCGCAGACTATAGCTAAGGTCAAAGCCAATATTCTCCAGTGAATAGCGCTTATTACCATCGCTGGGAAATGTGATGCAGAATGCACGAAAAAGTGCATATTTTTACATCAAAATTAAGGACGGTCATTTGTTGTACATTCTTCAAATGCTAATACAACACCCTATATACATATATATATATAGATGTGTACATATGTATGTATGTATGCATTTGCACGCACATTTTAAATCCGCGGATAATCCCATAGATGACTTTATCTCTTCGCATTTTCAGCCCAGAGGCACACGGTACTACATACATGCGTTTATACATACATATATGTATACATAATTACGAATAAATACATACGCATATCAGTGCGAATCTAAGTATTTGCCGGCTGCTGTCGATTGGAATGCCGGAAGGTCTGCTAAAGTGCCACAAAGTACAATTTAGAAATGAAGTAGTTTTCTGTTGCAGATTTTATCAAATGCAATTTTTTAGCACTTCTTCGCGCACAGATGTGGCATGCAACATGCGGCAGGCGAGGGAAAATGTATACAAATCAACAACATATGCAGAAATGAATGCACACACGAGTATATATGCATGCGTGCATGCATGTATATATGTATGTTTGTCAACCACCGTCAGTCTTTACCAGCCCCAACCCTCGGCGTCTTCAATGGGCACACACAGCAGCCGTCGCTGGCGCAGTATATTTACACTCTTATCAGCTCATTTCAATCTAGAGAAGAGCGCTTACATACATACTCATACATGTGTAAGCACATAAGCATGAGTGTACAACGTCTTGAAGTACTCGAGCTCATACATATGTCTTTACATTCAGAGGAGTGCATACCATCGCCTTCACCTTCGTTTTCACCTTCAGCTTCACCTTCACCTCTTAAATGCCTTTTGTTAATGTTAATTTACTGTTGTCTTACTTGTAGTCTTTCCTTATCAAATAAATACACCTATGCACATTCATATATTAATAACGTATATATTTATCTACTCTACGCATAGATAAGCCCCACTTAGAGCTTCTCAAATGCATTCGCATTGGTTAACATTTCGCGCGTCAAACGCCAAACCTGCTTGGCTGCCTGCTCCAATGAACTGGGCGATTTGCCTTTGAACATGTCCAGCGTTGGTAGGAAATAGTGTGGACATCGTCGATATTGTAGACATGAGATCAACTGTAGAAAGATACCATTGATGCGATCAGCAATACACGGTTCGTCCCATTCAAAGTCGCGCGGATGCTTTTCACATTCATAGAGTAGTAGATTTTTCAGATGGTAAGCGGTGATGGGATTGCCAGGCAGATCAAGGTGACGATCACGCAATGTCTTCAGTATGCTTAAGCAGCGACGACGACAGAAGCCTGAAAGATGAAGATGAGTATGAGAATGAGACAGTTTGAGAAAAGAATTGGGAGTGGACGCAAAAGGATTTCAATTACAATATTTGTAAAACTGTGAAACTTATCTAGGATATTAAAGTTAGAGACTACTGAGTTGAACGAATCTCAACTTGATTCAGATAATACTGGCAGCTGGAATCACTGAGGGAGGGCAAGACGGACTGTAATTGAGAGGCTTGACTTGGTGGTACTAAAGAGTCTCTGGTTTTCACGGCTCAGTTTGAATTGTTGATGGCTTGCAAGAGTTGGATGAGGGCCTAACTGCTGTGGGTTGTGACTACACCAACAAATATATTCCAATGACTCATTCCCGAATGGGTTGTAGAAGATGCGGCTCTCTATCTCTTAAGCGAGATTAAGCGAGGAATAAGACTACCCAATAGGTGTTACTACAAGCTTAGTGAGCAAATGTGTGGTAGAGCCCTCTCTTGACCAACAAAGCTAGAGCTTTAAAAACGCTACTTTTGCTCATGCCCTTGTTGCGCTTGAAATATTCGAGGGGGAAATACTCCGCAATATCTGTTGTCCCGTTCGCATTGGCAACCATCACAATACAACGCCCACGCTAGCTCGGACATATTTACGTTCGAACAAAAAGATGTTGGAAGTGAAAGCTCATTAAGGAAAACATCTTTAGGGCATTTCCTTCCCCCACTGAATACCAAACAGAATGCAAGGTTTTCTTGATTTAGCATGAGTAACATTGTCGGAGCTCCAGGAGTCTATGTGTATCTTTAGGATTCACAGTGAAAGACCAAACAGAGTAGACCATAATTGTTTCAACAGTTTTGCTTGAGGACCCAATTTAACTTTTCTGCATATTCCCACACATTTGAAAATCCTTTTTGCCCTGAGTAATTTCAGTATACGGAATCTTAAATACAGATTGTATAGCGAGCTCCTAAATGAAAACTTTGCTCCCCCAGCCTATTAGAGCTGAGGTTTAATTACGAAGAAATCTGTCCCTCAAAGGTTTGGCCACACCTATTGATTCCTCATAATGAAAGCAAAAATTAAGCTTCGGAAACCTAATCCGGATGGGCAGGGATCTGAAGAAGTTCATAAGTCGTTTCGCTAACACGGTCGAACGGTTTGATGGAAGAAATGCATGGGAAAGAGGGTTTCAAATTATTTCAAAAGACGAACTTTTTTCGAAGTAAGACCAAGGCAAAAATAGATTTTTCTCGTTGCCATTTCTGAGGAAACTCTTTAAAGTTTTCAAGCCCAAAATCGCTTTTGTAGTTTTCTATAAATATCAACCACCGCTGTTCAACTTACCCTGCAGCAGACGATTTTCCGCTTCGAAAAAGCTCAACACCCACGCATCACCTTCCATGGCTGCATTATTATTCTTATTCTGCATGACAATGGATTCCTTGGACAGCAAATCGAAACCCTCTGTTTTAACCTCAGCAACAATATTCGGATGTGGCCAGGGGATGTGTGGTAGCGGCCAATGGGCAGCCGAGCGTGGCCAAATACCGGAGCACTTGAATGCGGGCGTTATTTGTACGATGAAACGCTCACGTACACGCAACTTCACCTCCGTCGTGTCGCCAATCACTTTCACCATATCACGATAAATACTCTTATCACACGCCTGTGCCACCAGTGTTTGGAAACGTGAGCGTATCTTGCGGGAAGAGAGATAACCCGATGCGGTGATGAACTCCACCCACAGCGACATGGAACGCTTGCGACCGTCGCTCAGTTTCAGCACTGCACAACCGGGCATTGTCCCATCATCGACGAAATTGAAGACTCCCATTTGATTGAGATACAAGACGATTTCGAATTCATTTGGAGAAATCACCTGAACGCCCTCGAATCTGTGAAGAGAAGGTAAAATTTAAATATTTTCATGATAAAAAATAGTGAATATTGTTTATAATACAAAGAAATACATTCTTGCTCGTAATGCGGCTTTGCGCCTATCCCTTTCACAATTCTTTAAAACGCCATTAAAGTCAACGTCTGAAGACAAACCGCAGCAATTAGCACGTAACTCAAGTGGGCTCGTGTTAATGTCTCATTTGATGGACAAATTGTACTCAACTCGCAGTAATAGCCGTATGGAGCGCGCCATGCGATAGACAAGTGAGTGGATAGACAGACTGATGGGGCTGTGGGCGCTTAGTGACTTCTATGTCTTCAATTACAAGTGGCTTTTTACTTTTTTAAGTATCTATGGACATGTGGGAATGCGCAAATGTCTATTTACATTGCCTGGCTTAGGGAAAAAATTCCCACACATGAGTTAATTTGTAAATACTCAATCGATTCTCTCCATTTCGACATTAATTGAGCTGCGATTTTAGTAAAACTTCAACCAACCATAACAGAGAAGGAGCCTAAAGCTTGGAAGGATAATTGGGACTAGTGGAAATCCCAATTATCCTTCCGAGCTTAAGGCTCGATCCCTGTTATTGTTTGTAGTTCTAAATAATCTCTTATTTTTCGTTTACGCCAGGAGACGGGTGATTTAAGGAAAATTTATTTAGCGAGTTGGTTTCATTACGATCGACGTTTGTTCGCAGCCGGACCTCTGGCTAACAAACGCTGCAAAAAGGCTCTTAAACTAGATATATCGAAATGGCTGCATTAAGGCAACCTCTCTTTTTGCTGTGACCCTACTGAGAGACCCTGAGTTACTCAAGCTCCCCTGCGTGCCCTCAGTAGCATGGGTGAAGTCTTCCAACTTTGACTACATACCCAGAAGCAGTACTACAGCCTAAAACACCCCTCTGAGTAGTTAGTATATGAAAGTTCAGGGGCGTGCTGGTATGTGAAAACAGGCCAAAAATGGCTGGGACCCGCTGAATTTCGGTCTCGCCACTGTTCAATGGTTTGTTGCAACCGTGTTGTGCAAGATGGCAAGCGATCACTTTCTGGATTTTGATTTTAAATCTAATGGCAGTTAGTTCCGGACCAGCGCGGATGGAAGGAGCTTAGATCACTTGGCTTAGGTAAAAATACAAAGAGATGGTAATATCGTGTGGGGACTCATTGCAAGCAGGCCATAAGTCCGTTAAGCATATCGGAGTCAAGTTTGAATAGGTAGACTGAACTCCTACCTACCTACCAAGATATGTAGACCCTCAGTGCGCCATATTACTCTGATCTCGAGAGATACCTTAAGCTATTAGTCTATTATGGGCAATAGCTGCATCCGGAGGTGTTGACAATCTCTCTGTGAAAGGCGGTTAGAGCTCATCGGTATGTCGCCCATTCTAGCGGTTCTGTTCTGTGGTGTTGAATTTAGACTTATAAGTTGAGTATTTTCTTCCTGATGTGCATAGGCTGTTGTTCGGCTCTCGCTTCAGCTCGTATGATCATTCATTACCTCTGTGTCTCTTCTGGAAGTTTATTGCAAGTTAAACAATTAAATTTCGCATTCCTCATGAAAAGGGGCTTCCAGGATTTTCCAGTCCATGGCGAGTCGTTGCCTCTCAACCAAGTGAGTTCATACTTCAAGCTATTAGCGTTTCGCCCGAAGGTGCGATGGCATAAAAACTAATTTCATTTTAGAGATCTTCAAAAAATAGCAAACGATGGATGACTGTATTGGGAATGTCTCTGGGGTTCGCACGCTGGTTGTCGCCGAAAGCAAATCATTTAATTTTTCGTGTAACTGCCGGCTCATTTAGTCTACTCTCTGACTTCTAATTGTATGAGCGTAGAGTCTGGCCATAAAGTTCTTTTGGAGATCATTGTCCCAAAAAGGATCGTAGTCGGGCTGCTCAAATAAGATTCTGAGTGCAGTGAAAAGCATCGATTTATATTTGTTAGTTCGGCAAGTCCATGAAGTAACGAATTAATAGCGAAAAAATTTCTCAAAGAGTGTTTTCCAAAAAAGCTTTGTAGAGACTCTTACAGTTACCATGAACTGGTGATGCCTTTTACTGTGTATTATTCGAAGAAGAATGAAGTTGAAAATAATGGAAATGAAACCAACAGAGAGAGAAAGAATCATAAGGCGAAAGAGAGAAAAGCTTCGGCTCCCTAGCTTTGAGAGATTAGTATAGAAACAGGGTTGCATTTGATCTTAATTATTTGTATCGCGTGGATATGCTTTAAAGAATTAGCTTCTGAGTCTATGAAAAATACCTCGCGCTGTGGTAAATAAATCAAAATTAATTTCTCACCTGCCGTTACACTCCACCAAACTGGAGATGAAACGTGGCTCCTGCAGCTCGACCTCCTTTAAAATATCCTGTACGATTTTGCAGATTTCTCTGATTGCTGTGGCCGTTTTAAACATACGCGCTTGAACACGCTCCGCACAAAAGCGATTCATTTGATAGATCATGCGCGTTTGCGCCGCTAACATATCCGGCGGTACCAACATGGCGACGACAACGGCAACAGCGACAGCGTGCGACGGTTAAAATGAAATTCAGCAAATAAAAGCAACAACACTGACGCTTTTTAATGGCGTCTTACTGTCTGCGCGGAATACGCGGCAAAATGGCACCGAAGACAATGGCAGGCAAAGCGTGACGGCGAGCAACAACAAATTTCAACAATAAAAAGCAAAAATAAAACAAAAAGTTTAATAATCAAACACAAATAGACAGGACGAGTATTTGAGTAGGCGATTTTCAGTTAGTTCATTAGAGCTGAACGGCGGCAGCGTCGACCGCGGGTGACGGTTAAGTGTACTCTTTACTACCAAAGCACCCTAATGTAAACAACGTACACGGCGGCGGATGTACTCAATTGCAATAACAATAATTCTTCAGTTATTGTTGCAATATCGACTTTATTTCATTGAAATCGTTTTATTGCTTTTTTTCAGTCTTAGGCGGCACTCTTTGTTGTGACACGTCACTGCGCTGCTGTCGTTGTGACTTTTTATTTTGGGGAGCTCGCTACAGTAGCTTGGAGCGAGTACGGTTTTGTTCCAATTCTTTTTTTTTTCGTTTTTTATGCACTTTTCGTCTACATATTTGACACAATGAACCGAACCGAAAACAATAGCTTTTCAATACGAAAATGGAAAAAAAAATCCGCGTACACCCTTCACAAAGCCCGCTGCACTTCGATATCAGTTGCGGAGTTTTTCGTCCTAAGCCCGCGTACAATGCACCGGAATTTGTGCAAAGCGAACAAAGCGTGCCGCGTATTTACACTATGTATGTCGGCACCCAAGTCAGCCAACGTAGAACTGTCCGGCGTTGTGCCGAAAGCCAATATTTTCCAGCGCGTGTTGTAAATCTCACGAATATTTACTGACTCGCCAGATAAAACGAAATGGCCATTGTGGGCCGCGTGAGAGTTTCACTGCAAACAAACATATGTACGTATATATTTATGTATGTATGTATGTATGTACGTACATATATTATTATTTAAGTACATTTGTCTGGGTGCCTGATTGCGCTTGCTTATATATAAGCTTTCGCAAATACATATGTAGGTACATACTTATGTTCAACGAACAAATCTTTGTATGCAGCTCTGCTGCAACTGTGGTAGTAAACCAATGCTTGCCCGCACAATCACACCAACTTACAAGCATCAGGACCTGCGTTCGGTCTGTGTCTGTGTTTGCTGCAGCAGCTGCAGTTGTGAGAAAAGAAAAGAATGAAAAGAAAAAATATGAACAAATAAGAGAAATCAAAAACGCGCAAACTATGGAGAAAGGGTAAAAAAAAAAAAAAAATTGAAAATGATGAAAATAACTGAACAAATACCCAAGCAACGGGTAAATGCATTCTATATAACATACAAAAGTAAAAATAAAATAAAATAAGATTAAAGTAAATAAAGCGAAATTGAATAATATAGCACAAAATAGAAAAAAATTATGTAAGAATTATGTAACCAATAAAATCAATAAGTGTGAAATAAAATAAGATAAAATGGGATGAAATACAACTGAATAAAATAAAAGGGAAAAATTTAAATGATATTTAATATAAGTAAAACAAAATTCAATAAAATAAAAAAAAAGAAAAGAAAATAAGATTTTAAAAAGGTAAAAAATATTAAATAAATTAAAAATGATAATAAAACAAAGAAAAATTAAATTAAATTTAAATAAACACGTTCAAATAAAACAAAATCTTAAACAAAAGTAATTAAATAAAAAAATTAATTAAATTAATTTAAAAAAAGAGAATAAAATAATGTAAAACAGAATAAATAAATTAAAAAAGAAAAGAAATTAATATATATAAAAACAATCAGATTATATTGCACTAAAATTGAAATAAAAGAGGACAATAATAATGAAATGAAACAAAATAAAATAAAATAAAATAAAATAAAATAAAATAAAATAAAATGAAATAAAATAAAATAAAATAAAATAAAATAAAATAAAATAAAATAAAATAAAATAAAATAAAATAAAATAAAATAAAATAAAATAAAATAAAATAAAATGAGATAAAAAAATGAAACAAAGTGGGAAAAGCATTAAAGTAATCAAAGATACAAAATTTAATTGCTTAACTAAAAAAATTAAGCAAAAAACAGCAAATACAATTACAATAATATTAAAATAAAATGATAAAGATAATTTATTTCATTTATTTTATTTTTATAATAAAATCACATGAAATAAAATCAAATAAAATAAAATAAAGTGAAATTTAAAAAATTAAATATAATGAGAAATAAAAAACATTATATAAAACAAAAGAAAAGAGAATAAAATTAAATAACTTAATATAAAATAAAATAAAATTATATACAAATAAAAAAAAAATAAAATGAAAGAAAAAAGTTTTACAAAATAAAATAAAAGAAAATTGGAAGCAAAATGAAAATGATTAAAGAAAGCAAATTAAATCATTTAACAAAAAAAATTAAATAATACAAACAGCAAGTTAAATTGCAATAAAACTAACTAAAATTAATAACAATAAATGAAATTAAATAATTTAAAAAAAAAATTAAGCAAACTAGAATAAAATACATTACTGTTATATTAAATTAAAATGATAAAAATGATTAAATTAAATAAAATACAAAAATTATTGAGAAAATTTATTTATTAAAGAAATTAATTTAAAAAAGTAAAATAAGATAAAATAAAATAAAAGAGAGTATATATAACAACATAAAACAGATAAATTAAATTGAATGAAATAAAATCATATCATAGAATACAAAATCTTACAAATTATAATGGGGCAAAATTAAACAAGTTAAATAAAAGAAAGAAAAGAATTTGAAGGAAATTAAAATAATTATAAAATTTAAGTTAAATTAAAAAACCTTAAATGATATAAAATATAAAATTGAGCAATTAAACAGTAAATTAAATAACAAATTAAATTAACTAAATTTAACTAAAACAAAATAAATTAAAAAAATGCATTAATTTAAAATACATGAAAATCAAAAATTATTTGCACTTTATTTTGAATAAAATGAGACCATTAAAATTTTCCGAAATTCTCCCGACCATATGTATGTACATATATACCTTCTGGTTTTTGCCACAACGGTTTTTAAACGGAAGTTTGCTGCCTTGTTTCTTTGCTTTTAATACAAATTTACAAAAAAAAGCACTAAGTTAAAATTAAAATTGTTTACATACATATGTAAAAATACCTAATTCTCCAGGCTCTATAGTCGATTCGTGATTCAATGTATAAATGTTTGTTTGTGCACTCTAAATGTTTTTTTATCTTTTTCGTTCAACATCTGTATGTATGTTCATACGTATGTATGTTTATCTCAAAATCGTTACATGCGAATGTAAAAAGTGCCACCGAAAAATATTTCCGTCAAACTGAAGTAATCGAAAAGCTGTCAAGATACTCTTGCGGGCTTTTCTTCCTGAGCTGGCTCTTCACCCTATTCCATTAAACATATCGTACACAATATCCTAAAGTATATATATATATATGTATGTATGGAGTTTTAATTTAATTTTAGTTTCTCTTTTCACTTTCCTTCGATGTATTGCAAGAGATTTTATCTAAGCAAGAATGTGTGCGTGCAGATAATTTCTCAATAACAAGGCGAGACGTGAACTGTCTCTCTCTAACACAGGGGTTTCAGCAGCAGATACTGTTATGCATTGGTATGCGTGCAATAGTCTACGTGGTGTTGTTGCTGCTTTTGTTAGCTTACTGTTAGTTTACTTAAGCTCCGCCCTTCCTGTGCACAGCTGCCTGTTGAGTCGGCCATCGCTTGTGTGATTGTTTGGTATTGTGTGCTCGCTTGAGATTATATATTTGCCGGCACGGGCAGGAACATATCTACATACATACAAAAATACAAACATAATTGTATTAACCTCCATGTCCCATGGGAATTTGAAGTTTGCTCACCGGGAGTTGTTGTTAGCACAAATTCAGTTTGGCCATTGGTAGGTATGCATTTCATTTTGCGCCGATAGTTGTTGTTGGACTGCAGAGATGAATGACGTCTGGATGTAATAATTTATCTGCTTATGTCCCCCTTTCGTGTTTCGAAAATATGCACGACTCTAAGAGATTTATATTTCGTTAATTCGATACTTCGAGCTCTATGGGTATGACTTGGCTTATGTAGCTCTTACCTTTACTTGAAGTTGGTGGGATTGAGGGGAAGCCATGGGTTCGATGCCGATTCAAAATTCTTTAGGATTATATGTATGAATTGCTGAAACTTATGTACTTATACATGTGTAATTGTGTCTGTAGGGCTAAAAGACGAGATATTTTGGCTTATATTCATAGCTAGAATCCACTCGGTGGCCGCAACATTCGAGTGGGTAGCAACGGTTGCTACCATGAGAATGGCTACAAGTTTAAACTCCGGCCAAATAAAATTAAGTAATTTAATTTCGTTCGCGGTTTGAAATGAAAAGCATCTTATAAAAAAAATCAGGCGGTACAGAATAATATCAAGACGCAGACTACCAACAAAAACCTTTTCGAAATACTAAAAATAGCTGAGAAGGAATGTGTAAGCCTTCAATGGAGAGAAGCTCCCGACCTCTGGCCTCTATTTTCATGTTTTTTACCAACCTCCCAAACGGTGAAGGGTTGCATTCGAAGGTTGAACGGGTAATCCAACATATTGCGACCCGGACTGCCCGGACACCTAAGTTGTTCGCGAAGAGAAATTTAGTTCCAATAAGGATGTTAAGAGTGAATCAGCGTCCAATTTATTAAAGGTGATCAGTAAGTATTTCTTAATAGGAAGGAGAGATTCCATTCAATCCATATTGAAGTAACGAACATTAATTAAATTTTTAATGCTTAGACCTTTTAAGGGGTCTCTAAACAGACATCTCTCATCGACTTTGATCCAATAAAAGTTGTTCAACAAGGATTCCATTCAACATAACCATATTTTATCGCCCAAAAAAAATTGCTAATATAACTTTAATTTTAAAGTACCAACAAACTTCTAGCCGATTTCTTGATCACAGCTGAAATTCTCTTAGTTCTATTAACGAAATATTTAATATCGAACTAAAGTTCAAAAGCGTAATCTTCCCATTCACAGCGACTCAATCATATTGATAACGATGGACGCAGAATAGATTTTCAAGGAGGCTCCCACATGATATTGCCAAAACCAACGGAAGGTTGCAGTTTAACAAGTTCACACTGGCGCGGATCACTCGCGGCCCACACTAAACCGCTTTAACCGCCAATAATCATGCGCCGCCAGGTGAAATCGACCACGGCGTGAACGTGTTAATAAAGAAACAGTAATACTTTCCCTAAGCATTGAAGATTTGCAATCTTTTCTATATTCGATTCGCTTAAAATATTCGTCCTCGCGCGCATGTCCTAGTCTAGAATCTGATATCAGTATGCCAAAACCCCAAAAAAAGCCTTTTCTGTTGATTCCAAACTAACTAATGGAAGTAGAAACATAATTTGATATCGCTTTCAATACCCATGGTCATTCTTCATCACTTCAAGTGGGATTCACTAAGAAGATTTACAACGTATTAGCAGTGTCTACGTAGTGAAGAGAACACAAATTAAGACGTTTCTGCAGTGAATAAAATAGAAGAATTTATGTGATAATTAAATTTGAGAAAAATCATTAGTGAAAGATATTAATAGACTCTTGTTTCTAACAGCAAGTCAATATAATGGAAAATAAATGGGTGTGTCAGAAACATAAGCACTTTAAGCTGAAAAAAAAACAAACAAAAACATAAAAGCTCATACCATTAATTTTTGAAATGGCTCATTCAATGCAAAGATCTGAAGAAATCGGAAGTGCTTAAGGCGATATTATGACTATTAAAACAAATAATCGTATAGGATTTTTTATGTTTACTCATAAGTTAATGGACTTA